CTGATTCTTCGTTTTGTCCCTGACATGACCATATTACTTAAATATGAAAGCTGCCTCCATTCTTTTCCCATTAGTCCAGGATAAATAAATATACACCGGTACAAGCAAAAAATGCAGGACAAAGATAAACACAGGCACCAGTAATTGATAAGCTACATCATCCAGGTCTCATATTGTTATCTTATATTTCCTTAAATTGTAAAAACACAGAACTAAGAATTCTCATTGTTAACTCACAGAAAAAAGGCTGTGAGTTTTGAGTGCTCTTTTCACATTAGTGAGAAACAGTGATCTATAGAATTGAGTCTAAATCCCAGAGCGGGGCATGTGAAGTCCTCACTGTGCCGCTCTTCTTTCCTCATCCCTCCGGGCTAATCTGTGCGCATCCACTTCTTCCCTTAGCACCTAGTGTTACGGAGCTCACCATTTGCCCTGCCTGCATAGTTTTTCAGCCCTCTGTGCTTTCACTTTTGCTGCTTCGTCTACACTCTGCACTCCCAGCTTTGTTTTTTTATATCTTAATCATCCTTTCAAGATCTAGCCTAGGTGTCATTTCCTCTATAACCATTTCTAGAACTCCAGGTTGAAATGTAACTCCTCCTGTGGACCAGGGACACCCTGTGTTCATTCCCTCACTCTACCATAAGCTTCTCGAGAGTAGGCATGGAACTCCTGCCACCCAGCCCAGACCCTCACATGCCAGTAATCACTCAGCGGATACTACACTAAAACCACCTCTGGTAACCCATATTGGGTGTTTGGACTTTTTTATTTCCAATACTCAGAATTGAATATGCTTTGAAAAATGATAGAAAAATGATAGTTGAAAAATGTACTAGATTTATAATCAGGGGAGCTGAATTCACATCTCAGCCTGTCGTTTATTCTTAGGTACAGAATGGAGATAAATAATCACCATTGTACACTGTTTTGGCAAATGTGCAAAATTCTGGGACAATGTCTGGCAAACAGGCATATATTCATTAAATATTAGTTTCCTTACTATATTAATATATTGTGTTATTTCTTTTTATGGCCTTTAGTGATTTGAAATTATTTTTGTTATCCGTGAAGCTTCAAATATATATACCTCCTTATTGCACTTAGATTGAAGTCTAGTATTAGTTATTTTCCTAAACTGAGTTTCAACATTGCTGTATAAAGTAGATGACACAATCAATTTTTCCTTTTCATCCTCATAGGATACTTCACTCTCTTTAACTATTTATATTTATTCAGAACATATTTCTTTTCTTTTATTGCACAGGCACGAGAGAATCTCTACTTTGTTCTTATTACCTAGAGAAATCTGTCTTATTCCATCTCTTTGTGGTCTGTTTTCATCAGAAAGTATCTACTTTGAGAAATATTTTCTTTACCTGCAGTCTATTACTGAATTTTTTATGCTTTCATATGGATATTAGACGTTATTGATTCAGTTCTTCTAGTAATAGGCTTAGGTTTCTCAATAATGTGAAATTTATTATAAAAGTAAGTTATATGAAATTGAACAGTATGGAAAATTTCTCTAAGCCATGGATTCCTAGCTCTTACTTGCATTTTATAAACAAATAGATATAATATAGATATGGAAGCAATTGAGACAGATGTAGCTGATGCTGACAAGGAAAAACAAAAAAGGAGTGAAAGACTGCGTTTTGTTTATTATGGGATGAAATGCCAACTACAAACTATGGGAGTTCCTAAAAGAAAATTCTTAATGCATATTTACTAGTACAAGAAAATTCAGGCTAGGTGGAAGAAAAAAGCTTCACAGAAACAGGATAACCAAAGGATGAGCCAAGCTTCAAAGCTACGTGATCAGTGTCACTAGAGACAAAGTATCTGAGTTTCAACTTAACATCTTGAGGATAGGAATAATGAAATCATTTTGTCATAAAGTAGCAGGCATGCATCAATGACCCACAAGAAATCCCTGTTATCACAATTATTCTCTGGTTTTGTGCCATTCTATGTGCCACAAGTGTTTTGGTATTAAATTAAGGCTGCACCTGTCATACCCTGACCCTTTTCACCTTCAGCTTTCTTTCTGAATTCAATTCAAATTAAAACCTTAGTGCATTTTGGTGGAGAGATTCATGACTAACAGGAAAAAACAAACAAACAAACAAAAACCAAAAACTGAGTATTTGGAACCTCAGAAGAAAGGCATTTGGTTCTGTTTTTGTCCCCTTCATCACAATCATGAAGAGTACCACTTTACCATCTGGTAGGAAATAAAAGAGAACCTTAGGGTCTTGTTTTCTAAGTTGGGAATAAAGTCATTTGAGTTGGCAAATTTCAGTGAACAGTTATAAGTTTACAAGTACTGACCTCAGGCATTTTTTTATCCATGTTGCCTACATTTGGACCAGAGTTAACATATGTCATTGCTAGAGACTGAGCACTGTTTGACAGCTTGCACAAAGAAAAGAAATTGACAGAACTCCATGTGTTTCTGCTTCTAGATCTCTTGTTCAATATTAACTATCTGTTTAAAAAATAAAATAATTAGGGCTGTTATGACATGTACATTTGATTTCATGATTTTTTAATTTGTCCTCAGTGTTCATTTGAACTTCTTTAAGGCTACCAGTATTCATTTATATTTCAGACAGGTTTAAAAAAACAGTTCTTGGGGCGCCTGCGTGGCTCAGTCGTTAAGCATCTGCCTTCGGCTCAGGTCATGATCCCAGAGTCCTGGGATCGAGCCCCGCATCCGGCTCCCTGCTCTGCGGGGAGCCTGCTTCTCCCTCTCCCACTCCCCCTGCTTGTGTTACCTCTCTCGCTGTGTCTCTCTCTGTCAAAAAATAAATAAAAAATCTTTAAATAAATAAATAAATAAAAACAGTTCTTTCTGTGCTTTTGTGTCAGCTACTGTGTATACAAGGTTACAGCCCTTGCCCATAAGGACCTTGTAGTCTACTGGAGGAGAATATATTCTCTCAAGAAAATGAGAAGACAAGCCACAGGCTGGGAGAAAATATTTGCAAAAGACATCTGATAAAGGACTGTTATGTAGGTTCATTAATTGTAACAAACGTAACAAATTTATTAGCGGGGTACAGAGAAGGAAGCTATGCCTGTGTGGGCTCAGCATGTATATGGGGACTCTGTATTTTCCACTCACTTTTGCAGTGAACCTAAAACTGTTCTAAAAAAAAATAAAGTCTATTTTAAAAAACGATAAAGCCAATACATCATGTTAAATGCTACGAAACAAGGGTTATAAGAAAGTGTAGTAGCCCAGAGAAGAGGGGCTTTATTCAACCTAGTGAGATTTGGAGATTTCACAGAAGTGGTGACCTTTAGACTGGGATTTAAAAGGCAAATAGACTTTTACCTGTAGAAAGGTACAAGGGGGGAATTATAGGTAAAGAAGGAGAAGGGGGGAGGAGGTGAGGAAAGAGGTTAAAAGGGGGGAGAAAGGAGCAGCAGGGAGGAAGTATGACATACTCTGTGACTGCCTTATAATTCTGACTGAAACCTGAGTTTATGTAGTCACAGGTCATTGGACTTGTGGGACATGTTGTGAATTGTCATTTTGTCCATCATGCTGATCGGTTTGGAGTCTAGGGAGCAAGCCATTGGCTGTTGATGAAGAATAGAAAAGAACACTTACTGTGTGCTCACTGTTGTTGTTAGGGATTATCACATGTAAGCCTCATGTTACGGAACCCAAGTACCGCTGTCCATCACCTGAAAGATCATCTCTCAAGGGACAAGTTTTGATTGGAAAGAAATTTGAACTTTATTCAGGAAGCTGGGAACCTGAGGAGAAGGTGGACTCTTGTCCAAAAGCAAACTCTGAGGTTTCTTCTTGACCCAAGGGTTTTTAAAGAGGTTTAGGATGGTTGGTCAGCAAAGGGAATGCAGCGACCTTCAACATTTCTTTCTTTCTTTTTTTAAATTTTATTATGTTATGTTAATCACCATACATTACATCATTAGTTTTTGATGTAGTGTTCCATGATTCATTGTTTGCATATAACACCCAGGGCTCCATGCAATACGTGCCCTCCTTAATATCCATCACCAGACTAACCCATCCCCCCACCCCCTCCCCTCTAGAACCCCCAGTTTGTTTCTCAGAGTCCATAGTCTCTCATGGTTCGTCTCCCCCTCCGATTCCCCCCCTTCATTTTTCCCTTCCTACTATCTTCTTTTTATTTTTTTAACATAAAATGTATTATTTGTTTCAGAGGTACAGGTCTGTGATTCATCAGTCTTACACAATTCACAGCGCTCACCATAGCACATACCCTCCCCAGTGTCTATTATTCATGCAGACTCAGTAATGCCAACTACAAAAGTTACCTCAGTGAGAGGGGGTTGTGCAGGATGGTCTGGTTCTTGTTTCGTGATGTGCTGGAGTGCTCTGTTCTCTCTGGAGGGGAAGGCAAGGTCTACAGATGCACAAAGGGAGGTCAGTAAAGTCATCTGTGTAACTAAAAAAGAAAAACGTTTTGCTAAAGAACTACCAGACTAATCAGAAAGCCGAGGTGGTTTCAAACAGACTTGCTGGCTTCTGTGGCCTGGGAAAGTTCTAGTCCTTCACTCCTCAAGGCCAGTGGTCTACATATTGCAAAGAAAGTAAATTAGTTCTGTTACAGATCAAGGACCTTAGGTTAGCAAGTAAGGAGTGTGCTAACTTGAAGCAAGGGAACCCTTAAGACCCGCTGGAGTGCTGTTCCACACATAGCACCCTTTGGAGCTGGGCATTACTGTCTCAGTTTGCCCTTGAAGAGACTGAGGCAAAGAGAGGTTAAGTAACTGCCTGAGTACATATAGCTAATCAGTAGGAGAGCTGAGACTCAAACCCAGGCATCATGGTATTAAAGCTACAGGACTGGTCATACTCTAAGTAGTGGTGTGAGTGAAACATTCAGAGGGAAGAATTGAATGTAGATCAGATGTCATTGCTTATCTTTTGTTTTTCCAGGTCTCTTTGCAAGGAAATAGACAGCTACAATCAACGGTAGTCCTGTTACCCCTTCATCATGTTTCTCTTGACCAGAAATGCACTAAATAGGTTCAAGATTCGAAGCATTCAACAAATTAGGTCAAGACAGAGCCACGAAAATCATTCAGAAGATTTCCATGACAAATACGGTAACACTGTACTAGCCAGTGGGACCGCTTTCTGTGTTTTTGCATGGGTGTTTATAGCCACACAGATCGGAATAGAATGGAACCTATCTCCTGTCGGCAGAGTCGCTCCAAAAGAGTGGAATGATGAGTAACCATCAAAGTTACTGTAATACAAAATTGTTTCAAAATCAGCTTGTCATTTAAGCACTCTGCTGCTCATTAAAATATAGCATAGTTGAAGAAATAAAATACATTTGAAACCTTTAAAAAGTTGTCTGGTTAAGCAACTGCCTTGTCTCAAGTCATGATCCCAGAGTCCTGGGATTGAGTCCCAAATCGGGCTCCCAGCTCAGCGGGGAGCCTGCTTCTCCCTCCTACCCTCTCCCCTCCCATGCTGTTTCTTTCTCTTTCTCTAATAAATAAATAAAATCTTTAAAAAAAAAGTTGTTGAAAATACTCATTATAGTGCCTAGAAGCAAGACAGTAGCAATGGGTACAGGTTATAGAAGATTATGAATAATAAATATTTGAAAGTGGAGTTAATAACGCATGTATTTTCTGGCTTAATGATTTACACTAGGTATCCCTTAGTGGGTATACACACATATGTACTTTACAAATTAATGTAATTGTTTGGCAAATTCTGTTGAATCTTTCCTTAAAACATATTCATGATAAAAAAGAAACATATTCATAATCTGACTATTTTTCACATCCTTAATCTTTCCCGCCATGATGTGAATCACCATACTCTCACTGGGGTTATTATAAAAACTTTCTCACCAGTCTCCTTCTTCAACACATGATGTGCCCCCCAAACCTTCATCCTCTACCCCACCACACACAACTTTTTTTAACACAGAAGCCAGGATGATCATTTTACTTTATTTTATTTATTTATTTATTTGACAGAGAGATAGAGCCAGAGAGCACAAGCTGGGAGAATG